CAAACGTTATCACATAATCTGTATGAAATCCATATGCATCATTTAAATTAGTGAAATGAAGAAGCCTATTGAATGTCAGCAATTTCCGTTAATTACGCCGTGAGTTATTGCCCTTGTTTTACTTTGTTGAACCTTGTGAACGTTCGATTTCAACAATTTCTGTAGATTACTTCCAGAGTTACGGCCCTTGTTTTAGTTTTTAGAACCTTGTGAACCCGCAAACGACACAAATTATAATGTCATCTGTACGAAATTGTCTATTAAATGTCCCTAATTACCTACAAAAGAATAAATATGCGACAACCTTGCGACGATTTAGCTGCTGTGGGCGTATGTTTTGTTGCCTGGCAACCTATCTTTTGTCAAGAGAGAGACAGTGAGAAATGGAGTTTAACGTTCACTCAACACAAACTATTTCATTTCGGGACTAACATAATAATGGTACAATTTTATTTCAGTAATTCGTTTGCGCGTATCGGTTTATTATTATTAAATTCATTATTTTTTATCATCATGATTACTGTCAGGCTTTTTCTGAATAGTTTAGTTATTGTGGATGTATTATACACCAAGAACTGACGGAAGCGCTGGGCACCCTGATTTCCCAAACTAGAGCCGCCATAATAACTAGCTAAGTATAACTCAAATGTCTGGCATTGGACAATCCGTGGATATTGTTTATAAAAGTTGACGGAATTAAATAGGGATAGACACTATTAAAACCATTGCGATGGTTACTGCATGTCGGCGATATTTTTTTTCGAAAACTCGGAAATAATTCTGAGTTTTCGTCCTGTGCCGAAAAGTCGGATTTTTCTTTCTCTCCGAATTTTCGTTTTTTGCATAATTATATAATCTGTTCGAAGGTGAGCATTTTATGCTTATATAGGCTAAGGCGTATATAGAGATACGCAATTTGAATGGTTGACGCATTGGGACATGATAACTTTGGTTCTAATTAAGGGAAAGCGACGAAACTTGGTGTATAGTTTCAATACATCAATACCTTGAAGATGATCGATAATGAGTAAGCAGAGTGATAAGCAATTTGATTGGTCGAGACTTTGATTCTGATTGAGTGAGAGATGTGAAACTTCAGGTATTGTTTCATTACATCAATACTTTGACCAAGTCCGAAGATGAGCAATTTTTGCTTAGGCTAAGTAGAGACTTCAGTCTGATTAGTCGAGACTTTCGAACGCAATAACTCTCCTTCAAATTGAGGTAATGTTCAAACTTGGTGTGTCTATTAGCTTGAATGACTTTTCCACTAAGACTAAGGCTAAGCAGAGATAAGAATTTGGTTGATTGAGACATTCACGATAACTTTGGTTCTAATTTGGTGAAAATGACGAAACTCGAAGTATAGATTCATTATATCAATACCTTGGCTAAGTTCTGCTTAGGCCAAGTAGTAACAAGTAGTTTGATTGGAACATAACAACGCCGCTTTTAATTGACGTACAATTTTTAAACTTGGTGTAGATGTTTATTAGATAAATGTCTTGACTGAGTTCAGTGATTAACATTTTCAGCTGAAGCTAAGCAGAACTAAACAATTTCATTGGTCGATGCTTTGGGACAAGATAACTTTGATTCTAACTGATGGAGAGTGATACCAGGTAAATAAAAACCTTGACTGAGTTCGATCGTGAACATTCTCTGCTTAGACTAAGTATAAATAATCAGTTTGAGTGCTCGATACTTTTCAAAAGATACATGTGCAATTAATTAATATGTATCATCTATTTAACAGTCTCACAGTTGGCGTGTTAAATCATTAAAGGGCGATTGTGTTTAAATCTCTGATGTCTAGAGAGTTGATTATAGTCTTTTCATTTGAATAAACGTCTAAATAATAATTTATATAACATTTGAAGCCAAAATAAAGCCTGCAATAGGCATATTTAGCTCTTTCATCGTTTTTCCAGTTTTTGATAACTGGATAAGTATTTAATTTGCAGTCATGACTTTTATTTCTTTTTATACAGCTTTATATTTAATATCATTAATTCCCGTTCTACTTTTTAAAGTATTTATTACCTTTTCCAAAGTTGTAAGTCTTAGATTTTTAACCATCGTCATTTTTGTATCTATAACTGACAGACAACATAATTTGAAGAAATCCATTTTCACACGAGGTGAAGGGCTTGCAATGAGACTGAAAGTCTTGATGACGCCACCAAGCCATAGAATCGGTATTTCATGGTACTGGCTTCTAGGAACATGCTACAAGTAAATACATAGCACATTTAGATTCAAAAACCTGTAAATAACAACAAAAAATTAATAAATAATAATAATGATAAAGAACAGTAGAACATCTTTAGAAAATGTCCCGTCACAAATAGCTGCCATCTTGGAAATGCGCTAAATTGGTGAACATATTATTAATTGGCGCAGTTGTAAATGGCAGAAATGAAATCTGCTCCCCCAAAAACATTGACACAAAACATGACTACCCGTACTTAATTAAAATCAGCACATCGTCATATTTTCCGGTCATAAATGGCAGCCATCTTAGAAATGTGCTAAATAGGTGAAATGAAATGGTTTAACGTCCTACTGTTCTGCTCCGAACTGGGCTAATGAAGACGGGCGTACGCCATACAGTGTGCTATGAGGGAAATTTTGCCCGGACATCGGCACTACGGCCTACTCTTATATCGAATTCCAACTGTCAATGGATCTTTTACGTGCACGCCAATGTGTACACGGGACCTCGGTTTTTCGTCCCATCCGAACGACTTGACAACTGTCCTTGTCAGGCCCTCCGTCCTGCATCATTGACAAGGGGGAACCACGCCGGAAAATCTGGATGAACTTTCTCGGGCCAATGCAGGGTTCGAACACCCGACCTCCAGGTTAGCGAGCCAGCGTCTAAATAGGTGAACATGTGATCATTTTACACAGTTGTAAATGAAAGAAATGGAATCTGCGCCCCCGAAAACATATATATTGACACCAAACACGCCTACTTAAAGTAGCTAAGTCCGTAACTCAATATCATCCAAAATCTTCGACATTGAAAACACGAATTTTTTTGCAATTTAAATCAGCATTGGTGTTGTGATCTTACCTGGAAAAAATGGGCCTCTGATATCCAATATTTAAGACAAAATAAACATTTTACGATTGGTACACGGTACCGTTCCATTTTTCTGCCAAAAATTGCTGCCGTTTTGGAAATATCTTCAAAGAGAGAGAGAGAGAGAAATGAGGTTTCACGTCCACTCGACACAAACTAGATCATTTCGGGACTAACGTATGGTTTAATTTTTATTTCAATAATTGGCTTGCGCGTAGGTGTCTTTAGCAGTGCGAGGAAACCGGAGGACCCGGAGAAAACCTACGAGGTTGGACAGTCGACCCTACTCCTTATCACGTACAACTGGGGATCGAAACCACGCCAGTTGACTCAATGACAGACTTTATGATACAGCGCGCACGTGCTAACCATTCAGTCATCCAACCCCCCCCCCCCCGGAAATATATTCCAGTTTTTTTTCTAATTAAACACCAAAACCTTCAGAATAATTTCTACCCAAAAAACCGACGGATTCAAATTCAGTAACAAAATGACACAGACTATATATAGTTCTGATACATCATTTAGCTCATTTTCCCCAATTTTAGTAATTGGACAAGCCCCCCCCCCCCCCCTCAAATGAGTGATCATCACCTGCACTAAAACCTACTTATGCGGTAAACTTGTTCTATTATATTATCCAGCCCGGTGTCATTACTCCCCGGTCAGCCACCAGATAATTATGAGTGACAGTATCACAATACAACCCTGCAGTATGTAGTAGTTATTAGCACACTTTCCGAGGTGTATCGGTGAATATCAGGACAGTTTTGGTCGAGGGGCCCAGCCGAGGCGGCTCCCGACCAAAACTGTCCTGATATTCACCGATACACCGAGGAAAGGTGCTAATAAGTTACTTACATCACATTTCTATCGAGTATTGTGAAGCAAAATGTGAAAAATAGTATTTATTATCGAGTCGTTTCAACCGAAAGTGACAAATACTTTCTGCTCTTTCATTATTTATCCCTTTCTGAGCCCCACGTTACATTTCATGGTAGAATGATTTCGCAGTGGAGAGACGACCTGAGTAGTATTTACACGTGCGTCTTGCTATGATTACTCTCAGCGTAAAACAATCACGTGTTTGTTTAGACCACATCGTCAAAACAACTTGTCTATGGCGTAGAGGACTGCGATATTATTAAATGTAGTGTAAAGGAAATGCGAAACGTGGGTCATTCCTGGTGAAAGTATGCATCGCCGGATGGTTCTTCCGTTGAAATTTATTTGTAATAAAGTTTATGACTTTCTAGGCGTTTTTTTCATCCTGCTTATTTTCAATGCCTGTGAAGTGTCCAGCAAGAGAACTGCGCCTTCTATCATCACAATTAATTAAAACAATTATTCAATATTCTAATTTATATATTTTGCATATTAATATAAATCAAACCAAATTATGAAATAGATGCCAATTGATATGTATAATAATTGATTTTTGTAATATGTTGTTATGTTAATTTAATGTCATTGTATATGCTTTTGAACTGCCATGTAGTTCCCCCCATTTTGTTTTGTTACTATGATTTTGACTAGTTGTTTCATGTACATTATCCTTGTGCATTGTATAGATCCATCGTTATCAATTGCGATCTGGGTCGGACTAAACGTCCGCTACTTATTGCTTGATTTGTATCTAAAACGGTATAAAAGTATCTGTGTATCAGTACTCTTTCTGTACATTTCTGATACACGGATACTTTTAAGCATGTATTGAAAATAAACAGGGCAGTTTTATCAAAGGTTGCCAGTGGCAACGAGTATAAGTGGGATGTAAATGCTATAATTTACAGTAACAAATTTCATTGTGCTCTTCATTAACTTCGGAATATTTGTCACGAAGTCCCACTTTGTTGGCTTTTTGGTTTTGCCAATACGCTCTTTTTTCAAAGATTTTTTTTTAAATCTTTAGGGAGATTTGGAAATCAAGCTGAACATTTCCTAGGAAGCTTAGGATTTGCCAAACAAATCAACAGAACATTGATACTTCCACCTTGGCGATCTTATGTGAGTAAATATATTTTATAATTAAAGTTTACATAACATAGGCTTACATTATTAGATATTGGGTACTGAATGTATCAGAGATTGAAACAAAAGAAAACTCTATTCATTTCATCTGTTCTCAATATGGCAAAATTTGACCACAGAAACACTATACTTGCCCTGTAAGGAACAACGGTGGTCAATGGTTTGGTCCTGATTATGGCCGAGAAAGTGCCTCAGGATTTTTCAGAGAAGTATCTCAGGATTTTTCACAGAAAGTATCTCAGGATTTTTCAGAGAAAGTATCTAGGAATTTTTCAGAGAAGGTATCTCGGGATTTTTCAGTGTGTTTCAGTCTGGCTAAGAACATAGTCTCGTTGATTTGATGGGACGAAAAACCGAGGTGAAGTCTGTTACAATATCAGTATTTAGATATTGTTCTTAGTATTATTTAGTTGTATTGTGCATCACTGTATGTAGGCCTATTATTAATGTAGTGCATCACATCAGGCGAGTTAACTCTGTTTTATTAAATATGTTTGAACTATCGTGGCCTCCTTCTTAAACATGGAGGCTGAATTTGGGATCAACATTGCCTCAAAACTAACTTAATTTCAACTTTAATGTGAAAACATCCTATCATTAACCTACAATGAATAATCCCATACTTGAAAATGAACGTGGTATTGATCCTGTTGTCTTGCAGGCTGCTGTAGTTGCAGCAATGTCTGCCCCGAATTTAACCGCCAATAATCAAGCTGAAAACAATGAGGCCCGTCAATAAAGACAAACCACCTCTGTGAAAGCCCCTTGTTAAATTGATGTATGTATGAATGCAATCTCTGATGATTTCAAACTTTGGGTACAACAATGGCAAATTATGAAGTCGCTACTGGCCTCAGTAATTACCCTCCTGCTGTTAGAAAAGCCACGTTTTTGGCCTACATACATCAGATGCCTTGAAAGTTTACAACACGTTCACATTTGAAGATGATGATTACACCATTGAAGATATTACTGAACAATAACCTTCAAAATATTGTATTCTTTTGATGATTCCTTGAAGATTTTCCATAAAATATAGTTCCGAATATAGTATACTTATTTATATATCATAAGTGAATTTTGTCAAACATCTAAACGTGTGTATAATAATGTATTCTTTATCAACACAAAAACATAAACTCTGTTTGTTTAACACTAAAAGTACATTAACTAAGAAAATAGGAAACATGGTTTGGTTATATCACAACAAAAAGACTTTTATCTTTTGGAGATCGATCTTTTACCGTCCAGGCACCGAAATTATGGAATTCTTTACCTTTTAATATAAGATGCTGCACAAATTTAATCTCTTTTAAGTCACTTCTTAAACATTTTTGTTTAAGAAAGCCTTTAACTTATAATTATTTTATAACCTATTTGTGATATCAGATTTTATTCTACGCTACCGTGTTATGTTTTACTTCTATAGATTTATTTACTTTTCCTATATGTATATTTATTTTTATTACATATTTTTATTGAATTGTATTGTACAGCGCATCTGAACACGTTTTGTGGAAGATAGCACTCTATAAATGTTAATAATAATAATAATAATAAATGAATATGAAATGTCTTGGAATGATTTACGTATGTATACTTATGAGAAATAATCACAATGAACTGAATTTCGATCATCCTGTCAGCTTCATATTGAACTGTAGCCTATTTTTTTTATTAATTAATGAGTGAGTTGAATTCTGACAAAATTCAAGTTCATGTAATTTCTGTGAACTATATTCATTTTATTAATTAGTGAGTGAGTTGAATTCTGATAACAATCAATTTAAGTGAACTATATTAATAATGACTGGGCCCTGCCTCATTAACGCTTTTAATCCGTTTTTAACCCATCAAAGAGTGCCTCGGTCGACTTTCCAAATTCTGGTGAGTCGGCGATATGGGAAGACCCCGTCCTGGCTTGTGTCGAGTGGACGTTAAACTCTCTCTCTCCAATTAAAACAGCACGCTCGATACCGATCATTCACAAATTGGCACAAGATCGTCTTCATTACCCCGGTTGGTACAGAAAAGTAGGACTTTAAACCCAAATACATTTCATTCCAACCACCGTTTACTAGGTTATCTTTCTTTTATGAATTGCCAACGGTGTGTAAAGCTGACTAATTACACATCGGTTAAACGACACACTCACGGAGTAGAAATTATCTTAAATCTTAAATAGTTGTTCTATTACAACACAACAATTAAGCTGAGATTATGTTAATTAAAGTAGCGTGAATGTATATTGAACAGTTTTGCCTACAGACCAGTCCCGTGGATAATTTGTAAATATGTTGTATATGTTTTATTTTTCTATTATGTCTTTGTTTATGTTTTTTCTTTTTCATTGATGAATGTAATTATCCACCAACCCAACAGTTACCAATGTCCAAATACTCTCAATTTGTGTACTATTCGAACGCAAGGTAATCGTCGATTCGCCATATCTCCTCCACCAAATTATTTTCAATATATTTATAATTAGTAATACTTTTGGAAGACTGGTGGCGACGGTTTATTCCCACGGTTCATTCCCATATCGCCGACTCGCCGAGTTTTAGGGGGAAAATTTGGGTCGGTGTTAAGGGGTTGAGTGGCCAAGAACAATAGACCCAAGCTGAAAGATAAAACTAATTTTAATTAGTTTAAAGCAGATAATTTTGGGAGAATTTATTTTTTTTTAATTTTTAACAACCTTTAACACATAACATAACTTTTTGCACGCATAAAGTGTCCAACATAGTCTAAAAATTCTAACAAATTCATTCTTTCTTTTTCATATCTATGTTTCGAATCTTTCTGTTGATATCAGTGTATTTATTTGGTTGTCGCTGGTCACTTGAATACTGCAATAACTGAATTTCAATCGTCTTTTGCTCTTCTTGCAAAAATGTCATTACTTCAAAAATATTAGAATAAGCTTTTGCGATCCCTCTTAAGAGTTGTTGGTTCATCGCGTGGTTTGGTTGTGGTTCCATTGTATCTGTGTAAATTGGCCTTCTAACCATTGCGTAACCATATAGTCGGCCAGTTGTCTATATTTCTCATTTCTCATTAATTTGGGAAATTTCGTATTCCTGGCTCTATATACAGTACTCTTCTTGGAGTAAAAGGTTGGCATGATGGCGATGGTGGCTATATTATCTTCTGTCCATTCACCATTCCGTTTACCGTGTATTTCTTCTTGATAAAGCTGCGTAATCGGAGTTGTCGTAGACTGGACCTTTTCCTTTAAGGGTTGCATCATTACGGTAATCTATAAAATAAGATTTATTTTTTAATAATAATGTATAAATAGTAGAATATAAAATTAGAAGCTTACAGGTGAAATTACAAGAAATTGAGAATTGAAGTGCAATTTTAAAGATGGTAGATGCTGTAGCCCTACATTCCTTGCTTTTTTCACAGCACTGCCATATCACTAAGTCGTTATTCTTTCTCTTATTCAGTCTATACTTAAAATCAGCAACACATATATGTATCTGCCACCTTTTGCTGTAGGAATAAACTTAGTCTGTAACTGTGCATTAGCCATCGTAGAAAGAAATGAATATGAAATGTCTTGTTGTTTATTAAAGATTTAACTTCCAATACAATGAATATGATATTATGGACATATTGATTTAATTAAATTATTTACACTTGAAAATTGTTAAGAAATGTCTTGGAATGATTTACGTATTTATACTTATTATGAGAAATAATCACAATAAACTGAATTTCGATCACCTGTCCGCTTTATGTAGCCTATTTTTTTATTTATTAATGAGTGAGTTGAATTATGACAAAATTCAAGTCCATGTAATATAAGTGAACTATATTCATTTTATTAATTATAGAGAGAGTTGAATTCTGATAAAAATCAAAATTTAAGTGAACTGTATTAATAATGACTGGTCCCTGCCTCATTAACGCTTTTAATCCGTTTTTAACCCATGAAAGAGTGCCGCAGTCGACTTTCCAAATTCTGGTGAGTCGGCGATATGGGAAGACCCCATTCCGGTTCATTCCCACGAAGGCGCAGTTTTTCACCGTAACGGATTAAAGCAGGTCGTTTTCGAGGTTTAACCTCGCTTTCCCCACATTTGAGTGTTTTGATAAAGGATCAGGAGGTTAGTAGACCGTGGGTGTAGGACTGGGGTGTTCTCATCCAGCTCAAAATATTGATTAAGGGGATTAAGGGTTTACGGCTGGGGGATTATGGTCTGTAGCTGAAATGTCTTCACCTAATTAGATATGGATTAACCGTTTAATAAGTGTCATGTGAACTGTGTTTAATAAGTGTCCTGTGAACTGTGTTTAATGAGTGATTTTTTACAAAGTAATGAATCAATTTGGTTCAATTAAAACCTAGAAGAGAGACTTCAAGCATTGAAAGATCAGTTCCGAAATGGTCAAAGAGACATCATGCTTTATGTAGATGCGGTATCTCATCTTGTCCATTTAGAGTAAAAAGTATGAAATGTTTACTTGTCCATATGAAATATATATTTTTAATGTTGATGCTCATTTCATAGTGCTATTTAGTTATTTATTTTTTATATTAAGTTTTTCCATTTACATTAAAAGTATTAAAATAAACATGTTTTACTATAATAAATGTTGAATAAAACATTATCAAGTGATTTTGTTTTACTATTAGGTTTAACCTAATGAAATAACAGTGCCCAATGTGAAACAGACTACAGCTAATCCTTCTTTAGAAATTCCAATTAACACCTTAGTCACGCTAACATGATTATTTAAGTTTTGAGCTGGGTGAGAATGAACCGTAGGACTATAGTCTGTTTTAATTAATTAGTATGACTGGTGTAAATTTCTCACTCTAATTAATATTACTGGTGAACACTTCCCACTATCAGTAGATTGGGCAAATTAGTGAAATCAGTTTACTAATAAATTTACATTGTGAGCTGTTTTGATGTAATAATTAATTTGAAATAAAACCAATAAACTACTGATATTTAATCACAGCTTGTCAGTTGATATATATAGCTCATCTGAATCACATGGCTATTCCAAAATGGCGAACGCTCTGGTTAACGTTGAGAGACAGAGGCTAGACGTGTTTTTGTTAGAGGTCTACTAAAGTAAAGATATATATAGTGTTTTCAAATATATCATCTGAAACAATGTATAGAGTTTTACATATGAACTAAAATGTGATAAATATCAAAACGAATCTGGCGTCCTGTGAAGGATCGATAGAGGATAATTGAAGTTTGTGTTGCTTACAATAACCGAGAGCTGAAGAGCCAATATGGCGGCCAAGAAGAACAATAGTGATAACTTGGTCGTGACTCTTCTCTAAACTGTACTATAGTGTATATTTGCGTCGTATATAAAAGTGAAATAAAAAAAAAAAAAAAAAAAAAAAAAATTATAAACAAAACTATATAAACAAAAGCCATGCAAAATATAAGGGCTACAAAAACAACTGTGGGACCTGAAGGTGTTAGTGTGACAAATGAACTCAATAGAGAGAATACAATACTTATATCTCCAGTATGTGGTGAGACAAAATTGTCATCAGTTGAACTTGTAACATTTATCCTAGCCCATGATAATTTTGATATAAAATATATTAAATGTCTTCAGAATATAGGAAATGGGAATTTCTATCTGACAGTTGACTCTCAACAATCTAAAGATATCTTTGTTGGACTCTTTGAATCATTTACCATCAATGATCTGGAATATGAGTCGAAAGGCACCATCAAAGCTATCTGGGAATACCCAGTAGACTCTATCCCGATAGTTATCTATAATCTATTCTATGAAATAGATAATAAGGACATTGCACGAAAAATATCAAACTATGCCGATGTCATCAGATGTGAGAGGCCATGCTACAAAAATTTTCCAACAATAGAAAGTGGGGTGAGAATCATTCATGTCAAACGCGTGTTCAAGCCTATCCCATCCCATATTTTCATAAAAGGCCTGCGAGTAGGCGTTAAATACGAAGGGCAGATCAGATATAATAAGACTTGTTTCAACTGCGGAGAACAGGGTCACCTAGGAAGGGATTGTCCCTTGCCTGACAAACGTACAAATAAATCTAACTTCTCACCCATCCCAGAGGATTTTCCACCCCTGCAATCCTCTCCATCTACAGAGCTACCTATAACTCCTGATCCATACAGAAATATAGATGAGCTACCTATAACTCCCAAAATGGATCTAAATCTGAAATACTCTCCTCAGGAGAATTCTACAACAGAAAATGATGAAACAGAGTTGAAACAAACCCACTCTGACACATTTGATCCAAATAATGATGTGAATAAAGACGACCATAAAATTATTGATACATTAATGGATTTTAATATAAACAAAAATGATGTTGCAGTCAAAGAAGCACAGGAAACTGAGTGTACCAGTGCAGACTATGTTAAAATCCAAGATAGCAAAAATACAAAGAAAAGGAATATCAGCAATAATGAAGATGTAACGGATAAAAAACTAAGAATGAAAAGTCCAATAGTTGAGGTCTTTAACAGACTGACTAGAAAAAACTGATATAATAACTAAAAAGTGTTTTGGACTCAATTGTGAAATCATATTAACTGAATAAGTTTATATATAACAATACAATTATTATTCTACAATGTCTATAGTGAAAATCTTGATTATCTCACTAATTATGCATATTATATCCTCTAATATTCAAAGAGGCTTTGATGAAAAAATAAACATCTTAACAGATAAATTCAGCTACCCAGAGATACTCTGTTTACAAGAAACAGTGTCAAATACTAAAATTATAAATGAATCCAAGATATATCAAGATGGTAACTATAAAATTATATCAAATACTATTGATAATAACTATCTGGGAACAAGCATGCTTATCCGAAATGACATTGAATTTAAAGAACATACATATCCAAACTTACTACAAGGAAGGTACCAACATATATCATTATACATTAACGATAAAACAACCAATGTAATGAATATATATGGCCCTCCTGGTTCAACTAAAGAAAAACAAAATTTCTTTCAAAGTTTACACAATCATATAATAAATATCTATAATGAGAAAGAATACTACATTTTAATTGGTGATTTCAATGTAACAGAAAATAAGATTGATTCCAAAAATGATACCTACTACTCCCAGATAGTTATTGACTTACTTATCAATATCACAAAAATAATAGAAATATCAGATGTTTTCAGGAATAAATTTCCAGACAAGATATTATATACATGGTCCAATACAAGAGGTAGTGCTAGTCGAATTGACAGAGCATACATATCTAATAACCTACTAACTAGTGTTACACATTTAAATCACCATCCAAATACAAAATCAGATCACAAAACTTTATCTTTGAAAATCAATCTAGACAGCTATAGATGGGGAAGAGGATTTTGGAAATTTAACAATTCAGTACTCACAAACAACAATTATAAATCAGCCATAACAAAATTTTGGGAATTCTGGCAAAAGGAGAAAACGAATTTCAGACACAGTAATGAATGGTGGGACAAAGGGAAACAAGAAATTCAATTAATCACAAAAACCTTCTGTATAGCCATATCAAAAATCAAACAATCAAAATTAAAACTTCTCTACAGCTGTCTAGAAGATGAAGAACAAACCCAGAAGCCAGATCAAAATAAAATTAACAAAATTAAAAATGACATCACCCACATTGAAGACTATAAAAATGAAGGATATATTATTCGGTCAAAATTAGATATAAATATTACTGACAACTCAAATATTGATATTTTCAAATTAGCCGAAGAAAAGAATGCATGTAATAAAAAGATAACACAACTTCAAAATAATCATGGGGAGATACATACAACTAAACAAGATATACTAAAAACCATACATGAATATTATACAAATCTATATACATCTCAAAACATAAATCCCTATACAATAGATACATATTTAAACAAAAATAACCTATCAAAAATTACACTTGAAGATAGAGAACAAATATCACATTTGATAACAAATGAAGAAGCGCTAAGTGCCCTAAAACAATTTAAAAATAACAAGTCTCCAGGCATAGATGGCCTATCAAAATCCTTTTATCTAACTTTCTGGAACATAATAGGTGATGACTTTGTAGAGGTGTTGAACAACATTTATCTGAAGGGTGAACTCACACCTACAATGAAAGAGGCAATAATTAATATCAGTTATAAAGGAAAAGGCAACTCAAACTATTTGAAAAACTACAGACCTATAAGTCTATTATGTCAGGACTACAAAATATTAACAAAAATTTTGGCCAATAGATTAACACCAATGTTAAATAGCATAATATCTCCACTGCAAACGGGGGCTGGGGAAGGAAAATCTATACTAAATAACCTAATGTCAATTCACAGTATTATTACATACATGGAAGAAAAAAATATACCAGGATTACTACTGAGTTTTGATCAAATGAAAGCCTTTGACATGATAGAACATAACTACATTATAAAGCTATTACAAAAATACAACTTCCCAGAGTTCATTGTAAGATGGATTACAATAATCTATACAAACATTGTCAGTAGGGTGCAGGTAAATGGCTCATTTACAAGGGAGATTAATGTAACAAGAGGAATAAGGCAGGGGTGTTGTCTATCAATGTTAATATACTGTCTTGCCATAAATCCTGTTGCGGTACAAATAAATCAGAACAATTGCATAAAAGGAATCCATATCCCAAACACTTCTGAAGAAATAAAACTATTTCAACATGCAGATGATCTATCATCAATTATAACAAACAGTACATCATATACCTACCTTATAGAAGACATAGAATCTTTTGGCTCTGCCTCTGGATCAGAACTAAATCCATCAAAAACTGAAATAATAAAAATAAATAATATTACTATACATAGAAACGATATTCCACAAATAAATATAAAAACACAAATAAAACTCCTAGGAATATGGTTTGGTCACAACAATGTTGAAAAAAACTGGCTACCCATACTGGCAAAACTAAGCAAATTAATAGATAAATGGATAAAATACAAATACTTTTAGTATTAAATACTTACATACTCAGTAAACTCTGGTACACATGCCGAATTATCACGCCACCAAAACACATTATAAAATCTATAAATAAGGAAATATTTAGATTTATCTACCAAGACACACCAGAAACTATCAAAAGAATGTCACTACACCAACCATTCAAAAAGGGTGGTCTAAATGTGCCTAACATAGAAAATAAAATAAGGGCAATGGCACTCCAACGAATTATAATCATGAAAAATAACATAAACCCATGGATTAATCTGTTTGCATATTGGTTTGGGTATACACTTAAAGGAATATTGCCATGGTTAGCATCCAACAAACTATCACATACAGTAAATACACCACAAATTTATAAAAACATAAAAACTACTTACCTTCACTACCGCGATAAAATAAATCTTTCAGACACCACAAAATTAAAACATATCTACAATGAAATAAACAAATTAGACTTTAATAAACCAAGTATTATGTACAAATATCCAACAATAGACTTCTTTAAAATATGGCAACAACTTGCTAGTATGCCTTATACCCTCTTCGATTTTGACCTCGTCATTTTCGTAACACATCAAACACTGCCTACAAAACAAATATTATACGAGAGAAATCTATGTAGTAACAATAAATGCAGCCTATGCATGAAACATGAGGAAACATTTACACATATCTTCCTACAATGTGAGACAATAAAACTCTATAAACAAAACGTCCAAACCTACCTAAAAGAATTCTCCACAAATAATCATTTTGAATTTAATAAATACACACTACTGTTCCATGATGTAACATCACCAATTTTAATTTGTGGAATACTGTATTACCTGAAAACATTGTGGGAATATAAATGTAAAATCAAACCAAAGAATAGCATAAACAACAAAATAAACACAGATTTGACGCAACAATTTCTCAAAGATTTAAATGCCACTATAGCTATGTATAATCTAACAACAAACACAGATAACCCCCAACTGCCCTAGTAGTGTAACACTGACCCAGTCACCCATTGACCACGATCGAAGTCACATGCTATTTCTAACCTACAATAATTATAAATAAGACACAGGACATGTAGAATGAAAGAATCTATGAACAAAACAATATACTAATCAACTCTTATCAGAATAATAAAGACATTAATATAGATAACACAATAAGAAAACCGTTACCTGTTCACCAGTGAAATAAAAACATCCGGTTACAGTATTCATCGACATCATCCAGTCTCTCAGAGATACATACGACTGACACCTAGTATAGTCTGCCGAATAAAACCGGACTGCACAAATTTTAATGTAATATATTATATATTTATATTTATTATATACTTGTACTTATTATATATTAAAACTTATTATATATTTGTAATTATTGTATATTCAACAATTTGTATATTATAATAAAAAAAAAAAAAAAAAAAAAACTTTAAATACATTGCTAATACTAAAGGTGGTCAGAATTTAGTCTAGATGGTTTTAAATTCAGAGTTAAGTCTAGAGGTAATACTACCATATACTGGGAATGTTGCAAAAAGTACTGTACAGCTAGGGCTACTATTCGCGATGGTATTCTAGCATCCCCTCTTCCTCAACATTATCACCCTTCAGAGGAGAACAAGATAGCAGTCCTAGAGGCTGTAGAGAAGATGAAGGCCAGAGTCAGAGCTGACTGCAGAGCTATACCTTCGTTGTACAAAGAAGAGCTTCGAGGTAAAATTATAATCTTTTTTTTGAAACAATATTTATTATGAAGGTTCATAGATTTTTCATTTACAATCACGGAATTATTGGATCTGAAAAAGCTTATGTAAAAGGTTAAGTGAAGTGTACTTTCATTATTTAGTTATCCTTTCATTGAGAATCTAGTAACACAATTATAATATTATATTAGATTTTAATATATTCCCTTTTTATTGTTTCAGCCTTCAACCACCGCGAAGGACATGATATGGCGGCAACAGTCCCTACACTATACAGCTTAAAAGCCAGTCTATACCGGTCCCGTGCCAAGGACGTCCCACCTCTTCCGTAAGACCGTCAGAAATCAACCTCCCACCAGCCTACAAATTGACATCTTCCTAACAACCGTTCCTCCTGGCCCAGCAAGAGAAGATGCTAATTTTTGCTACACCAGACAACCTGTACCACCTGTCAAGAGCTTATACCTACTTCTGTGATGGCACCTTCCACACCAGCCCTAGCCTGTTTTATCAGCTCTATGCCTTTTTATCCATGCCTTTATTAACGATAAGATGTGTCCCCTAGTCTACGGCCTACTCCCTGACAAGAAGCAGTCCACATACCTTACTTTCTTCGACACCATCAAAGAGAAGGCTGCAGAGAACAACATCGTCCTTGCCCCCACAACAATCGTCACCGACTTCGAAGTTGCCGCCCAAAATGCCGCCCGTACTTCATTTGCTTGTGACTTGAAAGGCTGCCTTTTCTATTTCCGCCAGGCAGTGTGGCGAAATGCACAGAAGAACGGCCTCCAGACTTTGTTTAGAACTGACCCATCTGTCACCCACTTCATCAAGCGTGCCTGTGCCCTGGTTCGACCACGTGACATAGAAGATGCCT